CCCCCCCCCCACCCCCACCACACACACACACACACTCTGTGTTAGCATGAGCCTGCGAATCATCCACCCTGCCATGCCATAATTACAGACTAAAGTTCTCCTGACTTAGTCTGTTGAGGTACCTGTTCCCTTTGTGCTGAGCTGGCAGATCTGGCAAAGCATGTGATAGCCGGAATTAGAGAAGGAGAGAGCAGTGAAAACAATTAGTCACAATTTTTCAGGCCAAACGAGCTCTATTGATCAGTGGGGAAAAGATCTCATTTAAGGCTCGATCTGGAGATGATGGGTACCGGCACCGCTCAGTGAAGTTAGAGAGTTGTGGGTGCATCTCTCAAGATCAGGCTCTTAGAACAGGGTGTCATAAATTAACTAAGAATACAGATCAGCCAGAAGGTAGGGAATCCTAGGCTTTTCACAGTCCAAAGGGAATGTATAATGTGTAGGTGTGATGCTTTTTCAGAAGAGGCTTTAACTATCTGACGTGGACATTATGGAGACTGATGCTACTATTTAAATTCCAAGTGCCAACACCTTGGTATTGTGTCACTGCCTGCCATTTACTTCACTCTACTTGTGCTATTTGCATGCACTGTCCCTTTTCTATAGGGAGAAGGAAGACATTAAAACAGTACTACACCAGTGCCTGATCCCTTCTACATAGGGCCAGATTCTGCCCTGAATTACGTCTGTACTATCCCATTGCTTCAAGTTAGTGAAGCTAGTCCAGGTTTATGATGGAGTGAATGAGATCAGAATCTGGCTCATCCAGTACAGAAGGTGTTAATAGGATGCTATGATAGAAATGAAGAGACCACTTACAAAACTTACAAAACCCTTCCTGTCCCCACAAAAGCAATGTGTCCCATAATTGCTGTATGAATCAATAGCACGTGTTGGGTTTGAAAATAAGAGCAGTCATGACCCAGTGTTTGTATTTCATTACAGAGGAGCACATTGACATAAGATATCTTACAGCCAAGCTGAAGATAAGCAAATTAACAGTGATTAGCGTGTTTTATTTTTTAAAAGATAATTTTGCAGGGAGCATAATGTTGTTGTATGAACTGTGGTCTGGGGCCTTGTCTATACACAAACTTTTGCATGGTTTAATTAAACTGGTTTAGGTATAGTAATGCAAAACCCTGTGTGGACACTCTTATTTCCCTTGCATGGTGTCAAGTATCAGAGGGGTAGCCATGTTAGTCTGTATCCACAAAAACAATGAGGAGTCCGGTGACACCTTAAAGACTAACAGATTTATTTGGGCATTAGCTTTCTTGGGTAAAAAACCCACTTCTTCAGATGCATGGAGTGAAAATTACAGATGCAGGCATAAATATACTGACACATGAAGAGAAGGGGGTGAGGGGTTTGGGGTGCAGGAGGTTGCTCCAGGTTGGGGGGTGGGGCTGAGTGATATGGAGTGCGGGAGGGGGCTATGGGTTGAGGCAAGGGGTTGGGGTGGAGGAGGGGGTCAGGGGTGTGGGATGGGGTTGGGGATGAGGGGCTCCAGGTTTGGGGGGCTCAGAGCCGTGGCAGGGGGTTGGAGTGTGGGGGGGCAGCACGTGGAGCCCTGTGGCACCCCCATCTAGTAGCTGGACCTGCTGGCTGCTTCCGGGGCATAGTGTGGTGCCCCAGGACAGGTAGGGACTAGCCTGCCTTAGCGCCGCAGCACCGCTGACTGGACCTTTAGCGGCCCGGTCGGTGGTGCTGACTGGAGCTGCCAGGGTCCCTTTTCGACCGGATGTTCTGGTAGAAAACCAGACACCTGGTCACCCTAAGTGAGGCATGAGACTGAAAATTATGTGAATTTGGCTCCAATGGTCAAGCATGAAGAATACAGGGTTCTGTAGCTTATTTTTCACTTCCCTTGGATGTGTCATTAATGTATCTAATGTTGCACCATAAAGATGAATCTTCAGGATGAATTGAAAATGGCTTGTGAAATCGTTCAGGGCTAGGGCCGTGGAGGCAGACAGAGCTGTTAAATATGTACTGCTCCCCTTCCAGTCACACAATGCTGCCTCTGAATGGCACAAATCTCATTCCGGTGGGAAGAAGGATGGAATAAGGAGACACTTAATACCCTGGCATGTTCTTTGATTGATGGTTCTGCCTGCCCTTGTATTGTCCACACAAACCCATATGTCACTCAAGATCAGAATATGGCCCTTTTAATTACTTTCTCTTCTTTACACCAGTGTAAATCGAGAGTGACTCCACTGTAGTTAATGGAGCGACCGCCGTGTAAAACTGGCGTGAGATCAGAATCAGGCTCATTTCCCTGGCTATTAACTGACCATTACAATGACTTTTGTTAAAGGCAATTAGTTAAAGGCTTTCGGGTCAGTGAAATAATTTGAATGTAGAACAGTTTGGAACTGTCAGTGCACAGCATTGTTGGGCCTATTCCTGCTCTAACTTGTATACGTTCAACTCCCCCGATGGCAACTAGGACTTACAAACCGCTGTGCACTGGGCCCATTGCCTGCTGTTTCCTACCAAATGTGCTGTAGTGCTTGCACTGTGCTGGAGTAATGTAGAATGAATACCGCCCTGCTAGGACCCCACAAACACAAGATGTTTGTGCTTCTTGTGACACCATCCCAGGGAGACAGATTTTAATTAATAATCAAATAAATTAAGCTAAGGGCTTTGCAGTCAGGTTCCAAAGTGGAGAGTGCAGGCCGATTAAGCTCTTACTACTTCCCTCTGCAGGCTTGACTTCCTTTGCAGGTGGGGGGAAGCTGCCACGTGGCAGAACTCAAGGGTGAACCCTAGATGTTCAACCTGTCTTTGTGTTGCACTGTAATGTGGTAGACACTGGGACTTGGGGGACAATATTTTTAATGCTAAAATACTGTGTGTAATTCATTCTCTCTCTCTCTCTCGCTCTCTCTTTCATACAGGGCCACCCCGGCCAGCCAGGGCCCAGAGGTTTTCCTGGACTTGATGGCTGCAATGGTTCTATTGGGAGTCCTGGCGTTTCAGGGTTGGATGGGTTTCCTGGTACACAGGGACCACCTGTACGTTCTCAGGCTAACACAGTATTTTCTGGAGCTCTTAGTATTTACTAAACGACTCATGAATCCCTGGGGAATGTTGATAGTGTTATTTGAAATCAACTCATGTTGTTTCTAGGTGAATTGTTAAGAGTAACTATAGAAGATAAAATTCCTGAAGGTGGGTATGTTGCCACATTAGAATAAACCTTCAATCCCTGACAATCCTGACATGGACTTCAAGGTGAACAGGATTTAGCCCTTATGAGTTTAATTCTGTGAGGTGCTGAACGCTCTGAGGTCCCATTGACTGACCGTAGTAGGAATTGGAGGCACTTGCAGGATCAGCCAGAAGGCCCCAATTCAGAAAAGCATTTAAGTGGGTGCTTCAGTCCCATTGAGTCAATTGAATTGAATCATGTGCTTAAAGTGAAGCGTGTGCTTTAAGCACCCTTCCTGCAAATGGATGATTTCATGAACTGTGGTCTAACTCAGGAAATTGAGGCCTTAGGATACTTAGGAAAAATTACCAGCAGTTTAACAAGCTGAATGATTGATTTACTAGGTGTAATTCACGTAGCTGAAGTTGTGTACCTTAGATTGACCCCACACACATACACCCCAGGGTAGACCAGGGCTAACTGTTTGACTAGTATAATTCCACTTGACATCCTAACAGGTACTATAGTCTTGGCTTGCTCATTTCCATGGTACTGTTGGGAATCCATTAGCATTACGCAAGTCTGCATTAATCTATATTTGTTCAACAACATCAGCAAAAAAGACTAATGGTAAAATTTTCAAAAGCATCTACGTCTCATTGAAAGTCAATGGGATTGAGGCGCCTTAGTGTGTGAATCACTTTTGAAAATGGGACTAAAACTCTTAAATTACTTAGGCACTTTTTAAAATTTTACCCCAAGCCTTTAAATAAAGCATAAAGATATGGAATTATTTTCACATTGTAGACACAGAATGGGCTGGAAAAATTATCTTACAAACTTTACTCATATGAGTAATCTTAAAATCAGTGGAACTACTTTGCATGAGTAAGGCTTAGTCATGTGAATAAGGGGCGAAGGGGAAGAAAATATATAGTTGGCAAATACGAGTGACACTATTAATGTCAATACACTGAATCTTTATAAAAAATGTGGTACCAATGTATGCATGTGTTGAACTCTGAAGTTCATAGGACACTGAAAAAACCTAAGCAATATGATCAGATTTAAGCAATGATTTCTAGAGAAGCCAATTTACTCATACATACTGTTCAAATTGCTTTTTTTTTTTATAATCCTTGTAGGATTATATTTTTGGCCATAATTGTTGCTCTGCTCACTTATCTTCCTTCAAATTAAATTGGCAGTTAACATGAAATTACCTAAAATAAATCCAATAGGATGATTAAGATTAAGATCAGGTGGCATAACTAGAGCTATAAAATGAATTCATCCTGCATATAACTGCAGTTTCTTCAGTGGAGTTACCCCAGGAATCAAGTTGTCCCATAATGATTAATGGGCCAAAATTAAGTTTAATTCAGTGGTGATTGGTTCAACCCATCACAGAACAGATGAGTGTATGAACAGAGATGTTAATAATAGAGCTACATACTATCAAAGCATATGTTAAAAATACTTACTCAGGCCTTGTCTACACTACGGGGGGAGATGGATCTAAGTTACGCAACTTCGGCTAGGTGAATAACGTAGCTGAAGTCGACGTACTTAGATCTACTTACCGCGGGGTCCACACTATGCGATGTTGTCTCCCATCAACTCCCCTTGTGCTTCTCGTTCAGGTGGAGTACAGGAGTTGATGGGAGAGCGATCAGCGGCCAATTTAGCGGGTCAAGACCCACTAAATTGACCGCCAATGCATCGATTGCCGCGCGTCAACCCCCCGATAAGTGTAGACAAGGTTTCAGTTGTCTGAAGGCTCAGAATAAGAGAAAAATCTAAAGTAAATGGGGAGAATACCAGATAAAATTTTTGTAGAATTTGATTTAATTATAGCATGAAGATGCTTTGGTGTGAGAAGGTAAATATAAAGGGGTAGATCCTCAGCTGGTATAAATTGGCATAGCTCCATAGAGGAGGATCTGCCACAGTGTATTTTGCTGAAAAACATTTTTTCAAAAATTTTTTATACAGATTATAGAAAAATAGATTTGTAAATTCATTCTTTTAAAAACAGGGTCGCTTTGGTCCCAAAGGTCCCAAAGGAGATCCTGTGTATGACGAAGGTGGCCCTAAAGGAAGTAAGGTAAGAATTGTCAACATGCAGGAGAAGACATAGCAGAAGAAACCTACATGTGCTCTGAATGTTACAGGGTATATACTGCAGGTTAAATCACTCACAATGTTGGGCAAGTTTGTCATGGGTATGCTTGGATGCAGAGGCACAAATTATGGCTTATGAAAGCAGGCCATAGCTTTATTTTTAACAACACAAACATTATTACACCGAAAACCTACAAGTACAGTAACACCTCACTTAACATTGTAGTTATGTTCCTGAAAAATGTGACTTTAAGCGAAACGATGTTAAGCGAATCCAATTTCCCCATAAGAATTAATGTAAATGGGGGGGTTAGGTTCCAGGGAAATTTTTTTCACCAGACAAAAGACTATATTATATATATGTATACATAGTATAAGTTTTAAACAAACAATTTAATACTGTACACAGAAATGATGATTGTGAAGCTTGCTTGAGGTGGTGGAGTCAGAGGGGGGAAGAGGGAGGGTTATTTCCCAGGGAATGCCTTACTGCTAAATGATGAACTAGCATTCGGCTGAGCTCTCAAGGGTTAACACATGGTTGTTAATGTAGCCTCACACTCTACAAGGCAGCACGAATGGAGGGAGGGGAGACAGCATGGCAGACAGACACACACCCTGTGTGTGTGAGAGAGAGAGAGTTGCGCATTGCCCCTTTAAGTATGCTGACCCCACTGTAAGAACATTGCCTTTTTAGATCAGCAAGTTGAGACCAGCAGCTGCTGCCTGCAAGCTCCCTCTGTCCTGAGCCATGTCGTGTCTCCCCCCGCTCTATGGAAATGGGATAAATGGGTGGCAGTAGCAGGGGGGAGGGGGACACCCTGATATTAGCCCACTTTTTTCCTCTCCCCCCTCCCCTCCGGCACAGCAAGCAGGCGGTTCCGGGGAGCAGCTCCAAGGCAGAGGGCAGGAGCAGCACATGGCAGTGTGGGGAGGGACACAGCTGAACTGCCGGTAATTGATAGCCTGCTGGGTGGCTGCGCACAGGGAACTTAGGGGAGTGGGGAGCTGATCGGGGGGCTGCTGGTCCACCCTGGTTCCAAGCCCCCACCAGCTAGCTGCAAAGGGCTGCTCTTTCTGCAAGCAGTGGACAAAGCAGGGGGCTGCCAAATGACGTTATAATGGAGCATTGCGCAACTTTATACGAGCATGTTCCCTAATTGATCAGCAATGTAACAATGAAACAACGTTAACCGGGACGACTTTAAGTGAGGAGTTACTGTACATAGTCCTTGCAACACAGATGCAAATTGTTTATCCCTCAGCAGGACTAATGTGCACCAACAGAACCGTGCTCACCATGTCCTATTGTCCCCATATAGTTACCAGACCATTGTTGTAGGGCACACCTATGGGCCTGGCACCTCTAATGCCAATTCCTGCACCAGCAGAAACCAACCATCCTCAAACTGAGAAAGAGGGACCTCCTGCAGGCTTGTCCTGCCTTGTGTGAAGCAGTGGCAGGAGCTTCTAGATGCAGGAATAACATGGAAGAGACCTTGTGTAGCAACCACGACCCCTCTGTACATGGTCGACTTCTCTCTCAGATTATGTCTGTTGTGATAAAAAGCCAATGGTAGCCCTTGCCCTTAGAATTACAGAGTGAAATCCCGTGGCAAAAATTCCTATTGGCCTCAGTGGGGCCAGGATTTCACCCTGTCTCCATTAGTCAGGTAAAGCCACTGGATCACTGCTGAGCGTGACCAGCAAAATCTCTAGTGTATGTTAACATTACTCTTGCTGTTGGATTCCAAGCACTGCCCATTATCCCCATTGCTCTTTGCACTGGGATGTACCAACTGGTAAACCGTTATATTCTTCAAACACATGAACATTATGGACATGGTCCTGGCCCCAGTGAAGTCGGTGGGAGTTTTGCCACTGACTTTAGTTAGGTCAGGATTTCACCCTATGTGATTAATGAGGAACTGAGATGTTTTATATCTGAGGTAGAATTTTATATCCATAATTTTATTGCCAATGTAATGAACATTTAAACCATGGAATGAAAGAATCTGCTTAGCTTAACATTCAAGGATGTGTGTACATGTGCTCACATACTCTGATACATACATACATATATTAATTAAAAATAGAGTTTTGATTGCACAAAGAATACAGGATCTGGCCTGAATCTACACAGGGCTTAATACTTCCAGTGGGGTTCTGAATGGGTTGCATTAAAGCCATAGTGATTTGAAGGCATTCATTACCGTTCTGCATCCAGCCCTCGATATATCAAGTGAGAGAGAGCGTGTGTGTGTGTGTGTACGTACATACTCTGGTGCTACATAGATACTCACTACTAAGTTACTAGAACTAGTCGAAGTGGAAAAAATGTCTCAGAATTTTTTCTCCTTTTTTGGTCAAAGTTTTGAACTTTTCAAGCTTTTCTGACCAGTTCTATCAATTATATACGCTAACTTAGGATACGTCTATACTTACCCGCTGGTTCGGCGGCCAGCAATCGATCTTCTGGGATCGATTTATCGCGTCTTGTCTAGACGCGATAAATTGATCCCGGAAGTGCTCGCCGTCGACGCCAGTAATCCTGCTCTGCGAGAGGAGTAGGCGGAGTCGACGGGGGAGCCTGCCTGCCGCGTGTGGACCCGCAGTAAGAACTTTTAAGTTCAAACTAAGATACTTTGACTTCAGCTACGTTATTCACGTAGCTGAAGTTGCGTATCTTAGTTCGAACTGGGGGCTTAGTGTGGACCAGGCCTTACTAATTTTTATGAAATAGATAATTATTCATGAATTTAGATGTTCATGGAAAATCACCATCTGAAATGTTAATAGTGAAAGGTATATTTAGCAGTAAGCAGCACTTTTAAAAAAATACTTTTACTAGGGTTACCATATTTGACAAATAAAAAAAGAGGACCCTCCATGGGGCCCTGGCCCCGCCCAATTTCCACCCCAGCCCCGCCCCAACCCCGCCCTAACTCCGCCCCCTCCTATCTCCCACTCCCAGCCACGCGAAAAGGGCTGCCCGAGCGGTACCGGCTTCACGGTTTGCCGGGCAGCCCCCAGACCCTGCGCCCCTGGCTGGCGCTTCCGCAGCACAGCTGGAGCCCGGGAGGGGAAGCGCCCAGCCAGGGGCGCAGGGTCTGGAGGCTGCCCAGCAAACCGTGAAGCCGGTAGCGCTTGGGCTTCGGGCAGGCCCCTA